TCAAGAGATGGCGTGTCATGGGTGACGAATAACAAGAAGACCAGTTACTGTCATTGAGGTGAGTACATGGAGGTCAAGTACCTGAAGAATAAAAAGGTATGAAGATGCCAGATTACGAAAGGCTTAAAATGCCAAAAAGATGATTGTCTATTTGATTCTGGAGGTAATAAGGAGCAATTGGCATTTATTAAGTAAGGGCATGCCATCTGTGGTTTAGAAAATCACTTTGGCAGCTAAGTGGAGGATAGATTGGAGTGGAAAGAGACTTGATATAGGGAAACCACTCAAATAATAATAATAATAATCCAAGAGTGACATGATGAGAACTCCACCAAAGTGGTAGCTGTGTGAGTGTTCAGAAAGTGACATATATGAGAGGTTGTGAAGGTAGAGAGGACAATGCTTGACAAACTTGGATATGTGCATTGAGTGAAATACCAGTATGGCTCTGAGGTTGGGAACCATGGTGACTAGGAGGATCGCGGTGCCTTCCATGGTAACAGGAACATTTGTAAGTAGGGAGACATTTGGGAGAAAGATAGTACTCTCTCTGTCTCTCTGTCTCTCTGTCTCTCTCTCTCTCTTTCTTTTTGGATATGTTGACCTTAAGATGCTATAGGATACAAGAGTTCAGATGTACAAAAGGCTATTAGATGTAGAACTACAGATTAGAATGGAGATTAATCCTGGATACAGAGATCTAGGAATAGAGACTGCAGAATAGGAATAGAAACTGCCTAGAGATGATAATTGAACTCAGGGGAGCTGAAAAACACCATTAGGTGGGATAATTGAAAGGTCCCCCCTAGAGGACTTAATCTGATTTCTATGACTATTTCAACAAACATATTGTGTTAAATATTTTCATAAAATTTGTTCCTATCTGGAGGCAGCTATGTGACTCAGTGGATATAGCACTGTGGTTGGAGTACGAATTTGTGTTCATATCCAACATTAAACACTTATTAGCTGTATGACCCCTGCCAAGTCACTTAACCGCTGTCAAAATCAGCTTACTCAACTGTAAAATGGGTCTGATAATAGCATCTAAAACAAGACGTTGTCAATTTCGTCAGGAAATTTCTCTTCACTTCAAGTTAAATTCTGTCTCTTTGCAACTTCCACTGAGTCCTTCTGCCCTCTGGAGTCAATCAAAACAAGCCTAATTCCTCTTGCATATGCCAGCTCTTCTAACATTTGAAGTCTATTATCATGTCTCCCTAGGTCTTTCTTCTCCATGATAAATAACTTTATCTATCTTATCATTCTTATCTCCCCATCCTACTACTACAATGCCCTGAATGTGATTTGGGTTCATAGATAGCTTAGAGCCCTTTGACTATGAATTACTACTCTCCACTAACTCAAAGTTTTTCTTCTTTCCTTCTCATCTTCCAGTCCAATGTCACACCCCTGCTCTGCATAACAGTAGCTTCTTAGTCTCTGTTTCTTTTAATATAGATAGCTTTCATTTTTATATGACCTTCACACACATGTATATTCCTACCTACACACACACATATATATATATATATATATACATATGTCTGTGTGTATATATACACACGTATGTTTCAGAATATGAAATCTTATATTACCAGAGAATGTTGGAATTTGAGTACCTGGCTACCAGCCAGAGCTATGTGGCCCTAATAAAGTACTTTCAAAAAATCCTGGTTCCCTATATTATTTCTGTCCCAAGAAAGCCAAGATGGGGGGAAGGACTGGAGAGCAACGTAATGATTTTATGACCCAGGAGATAAACACTTTGGTTTCATCTCTAAAATGAGGGGCTTAGATTTGGTAGCCTTTGAGGTACTTTCCAGTACTAAATCTATGATCCTCCATATTCCATCTTAATGTCTTTGTTTTACTTCATTTCCTCTAGACCTGCCTTAGAGAGAAAACAATCTGTGTAAGTATGTTGGGCTTTCTCTCTAACAAAAGTGTGGATTATCTCAGGTTTCTCAGTAGAAGCTGGAGACTATAGGGAATGACACACCTGACAGATAGGCCCATTGCCCACTCTAATAGCACTGAATTTCATTATCCTTTTTAAGGCAAATGCCAGTTAGAGATGTGTTGTGAAAAATCTAATGTGTAAAACCTTCTGTAGCCACTGTATATTTCATCTGAGGTATACAACCAGCCCATACCCATTTTATATAACCAAGAAAGTACGACAGCAGACGCACCCTCTGACCCTTTACTTAACTATACCCAAATGTTCAACGCCAAAGGATGAGAAACCTTTCAATTTCCCTTGAACCATAGGCAAGCCACTCTCTATAAAGAATCTGTGCTCTGGTGGAAGCCCAGCATGATAAGCTGGAGGATCTGGTTCCCACTAGGGGGATCCAAGACCAATATGAGTCAAAGAATTAAGTTATAAGGAAGACACAGTTTGTCTCGTATTTTAATATTCAATTCATAAATCACAACACAGAAAGAATCATGTTTTGTAACAGGTCTTCTGTGCACTGAAATACAAAAAAAAAAATTAAAACATTTCAACATGTGTCCCACATACATCTCTAATTTGGTTCCTAAAGATTTAAAATAAATACATCCACAATCTCTTTTAAAATTCCCCGTCCTTTTTCCTCAAGGAGAAAGGAAACTACATTCCATGGAATTGATGACTATATAGCAAGTAGTAACAAAAACTATGACATACATAGTTGCAACATATTTGATAGCGTGTAGTAGGCAATAGCATTATATATGTATGCATATGTGTATACATATATACACATATATGTGTATATGTGTATATGTGTAATTGTAATTACAACCTAAAATTGGAGCAGCTAGGTGTTACAGTGGATAGAGTGCTGGACCTGGATACAGGAAGACTCATCTTTATGAGTTTAAATCTGGCCTCAGATACTTAACTTGCTAGGTGACCTTGGTCAAATTACTTAACCCTGTTTGCCTTAGTTCCTTGTCTGTGAAATGAGCTGGAGAAGGAAATGGCAAACCACTCCAGTATTTTTGCCAAGAAAACCTTAAATAGATCAAGAAGAGTTGGACACAACTGAACAACCTAAAATCAGTGTTATCCCACATTAACTTTATGACTGTTTTAGATGATTAAAGCAGCCTTATATGAATGGAATAAGCAAATAGTTGTAAAACCATGTTAGATTCTTCTGTGACTTCTGCTTTGGGAATGTTATGGTATTGAAGTACATTGATGCTAACGAGGTAGTGGTATAGTGGATAAATTATGGGCCTCAAGTGAGAAAGAGCTGAATTCAAATCCAGCCTCAAACACTTGTGAGTCACTTCACTTCTGTTTGACTCAGTTTCATCAATAAAATGGGGACAGTAATAGCACTTACTCCCCAGGGCTGTTGTGAAAAACAAATGAGAATGACTTTTCTTTTCCAGTTGGTGGCAGCCATCAGGCAGGCTAAGCATAAGCCAGGATGGGGGCCTACAAATACATCTAGGAGCTATGGAGGAAGAAGCGGTCGTCTGATTTCATGCGGTTCCTCCTATGTGTGTGCTGCTTGCATTACTGCCCCAGTAGTAGGTCTGCCCCAGACCTAGCTGCCCAGCCCACCAGACTCAAGAAAGCTTGGAGACTGGGGAACTAAAGCCGAGCACGGTAAAGTCATCTACCTTATTTGTGCTCACCATGGTGGGAGAAACTGTCCAGTTCTCAAGGGTTCAACCTATGGTAAACCTGTGCATCATTGTGTCAATCAGCTGAAGTTTGTCAGGAGCTTTCAGTCTGTAGTAGAAGAGCGTGCTGGCTGCCATTGTGGGACCCTAAGAGTCTTGAATTCCTACTGGGTGGGTGAAGATTCAACCTTCAAATTCTTTAAGGTTATTTTTATTGACCTTTTCCATAAAACCAGACGAAACCCCAACACTCAATGGATCACCAAGCCAGTGCACAAACACAGAGAGATGTACAGGCTAACCCCAGCTGACCAGAAGAGCCCAGGTCTTGGAAAAGGCCACAAATTCCATCATACCATCGGAGGATCTCATGGTGCTGCTTAGAGAAAACACAATATTCTCCAACTACATAGATACTGCTAATTGGTACACATTCATTTGTAAACTTAAATGTTTAATAAACAAAATTTAAGATGAAAAAAGGGAAAAAAAAAGAAAAACAAATGAGAAAATATTTGCAAAACACTTAGCAGAGTGCCTGATATATATACTATATAAATGCTTGTGATTATTATTATTAATATTACTGAAGTAATGGTATAAGAAACAATGATAAAATGCACTTACATTCCAAAAAACACCTATGTGGGGCTAAGGTAACTTTAGGTATTTCTCTCATTGATTAGAATACAAAGAAAATAAAGAAAACCAAGGACTTTTGGGGCCAAAAACAATTGTTATTGTATGAACTCCTTTAACAGGGAGGCTCAGCTTCATTTTTGGCAGTAGGTGGAATTGATCCCTCACTTCATTTTCTTAAAAAACAAAGAAAGATAAGGCAAAGAAAGAAAACAGCAAAATTCTATAATTCAGAATAGAGCTGAAAACGTTTCAGGGCTACTGGTTTAAGTAAATACAAGTGTTAATTACACGACGGAAAGCTTTTCAGATTTATTGTATTTGAAAAATAAATAAAAACTTTTTATAAGGAAGAAAAGATGTCAGAGATGTTCTTGGAAGGAATCAGAATAGGCAAAATAGGTGGCTTATCTACTGCAAATGAAAGGCTAATAGAGGGAGGGATCAGATTATAAAATATTCATTAGAGACAAAAAAAAATTCTTCTACTCCTTGATCCAAGAGAGGAGTGAAGAACAAAAACAAATGTCAAATGAGAAAAAACAGACATAGAAGAGCAACATTAAAGACAGCTGGTAAAACACCCTATGCACATGCAATTTGACATGGTAAATAAATTTTATTAAACATCAAACCTAAAATAGGGATTTGGAAGGAATGAAGAGAGTATACTCTCATGTCATAATAATTCACCTGTTCCTTTTACAACTTTGTTCCATATTTTAACATCTTCAGTTTAAAACCTTAATTTGTTCAGAAAACAAATCTATTGTTGAAGAGTGACCACTGAAGACTTTCCCAGTGACAATCAGTTTAATTGCTCTTCTAAACCAAGGATAAAAGAAAGCATAAATCAGAGGGTTTATGGCTGAGTTAAAATAGGCAAACCAACTTAAAATTTCATAAATATATGTTGGAGTGATGAACCCTAGAAAAGCATCAATTATTGTTTCAATAAAATAGGGGAACCAGGAAATCACAAATGCTATCACAGCAATGCCCAGTGTTTTTGCTGCTTTCCTCTCCCTCTTGGACACTCTGGCTTTGTAACTCTCTGAAGATGATTCAGTTTTGCAGTTCATGCTTTCAATCTTTCTAGCTTGTAGTTTAGCTACTAGAAAAATCTTACAATAAAGAATGACCATGACCAGAGTGGGAATGAAGAACAACAGAAAGTCTATCAGTACCCAGGTTTCATTCATAGCCATCTGACAACCTCCCACACAGGTGAGGGCACTTACTAATTCCTCCAGTCCATCATCATTAGCACCTGTGTAAAAAAGTGAAAAACTAAATGTAATGGCAAGGAGCCAGGAGAACACAATGCATATTCCTGAAACCAACAGAGTAAATTTAGTTGGATAGACCAGAGGGTCAGTGACAGCAATGTATCTATCAATGGAGATGAAACACAAGTGAAAAATGGAAGAATAACAAAATGATGCATCAAAACAAGTGTGAAATTTACAGTAACTTTCCCCAAAATACCAACAACTCTCCACTGACCTCACCATGCTAAAGGGCATCACAGTGGCTCCCACCAAAAAGTCAGCACAAGCCAAAGAGGCAAGGAGAAAATTGGCTGGAGAGTGCAGCTGCTTGAAGTGAAGGATTGAAATCATGACCAAGAGGTTTCCCAAGATAGCCAGCAGAGCCCCAAAGCCAAATGCGAAGTAGAGGATGACTCGGGATCCTGGGGAGTAGGAGGTTTTAATGCAGGACCCATTGATGTTCTCATAGCAGAGCTGAATTACTGCAGCCTGGGACTCATTGCTGCTGCTCAGCATTCTTCTCTCTCAGCTTATAAGTATCTTTGTTTTTCTTGGTAATCACAGAAAATTATCACTGACATTTCCAAAATTCCTGAAAAAAAAAGATAAATAAAATGCATGTCTATTCAAAGTCAAATACCATGCTTCATTACTTATGATCCATTTCACTCAGATAATATTTACAAAGCACTTAACACATTGCCTGGCACGGTAGGCACTATATAAATGCCTAATCCCTTCCCCCTTTCCTATAAACAGTGAAGCCCCATCCTGTGTTATACTCAGTATATGTCCATTTAACTCGGTAGAACGGCTTCCCCTAATCTCAAAACCACTAAATAAAATGCTTTCAATAAGTCTACTAAGGATCAGCACCAAGACAGTCAGTGCTTCTCTGCTTGGTAACTTTTCTCTCTGATCCTCTAGTTCTGTACCTCTGACAAGCTCCTCTGAAAAGGTCAGTGAGATACTAAAGGAGTCCTCACTTCAAGGGTCACCTTTTATTACTCTGCCCTTCTTCTAGTTGTCAACTCTGAGTTAATGCCCAAAGTACCGCAAGCTTTCTGGAACTCAGCCAAAGAAGTGCCAGAAAACCCTTAGGAGATCATCCCTTGGGGTTAGGTGTGGTTAGGTTCAATAACTATCAGTAAGGAACTTATTCTGCTATCCTGCTGTTTATAGAAACAGAAATTAAACATTTTGTTTTGTAAGATTTGCACATTTATGTGTCTTTTTGTTTTGTAAATTTTTTGATGGTCAAATTTATAGTGAATGAACTGGCATCTCATATATATGTATATGTGTTTGTGCATATATACACGCATATATCATATGTAGGCATATACATATATACACATATATAGATAAATATGTGTGCGTATGTTGGTACATATCGCTACTAAACCTTAAAATTATTCTGTCTTTTAGGACACCCTGCCTACATGTATATAAAAACATATACACATACATATGTATAAATATACACACATAGTAGATGTATTTTAACAGTTTCTCCTGATAATTAAACAATAATCTGTACTTTCTTAGGTATTGGCTGCCCACGTTACAGCACAACTCCTCGAAAACATTTTAGAAATTTTCCCATTTCTAGCTAATCCCGAGACCACAAGTACACAAGCAATTATTGCATCCGTACTTTAAATCTTTTTAGTTTTGATCTGCCTGAATATATTTGAATTCATTAGCAGAATCTTTGAAAACCCTTGATCATTTCCATATTACATTGAGGCCTCAAAGGAGTATTTTATTGGAAATACACATTATACATATATCTGCATCTATTTATACATATATTTTATGTATCTGCATATATTTCATTGGTGTGGGAAACTTCCACTGTGCACATGTCTTTCTACAAAGCAAATTGGCAACTACTTTGTAACTTGCCATATTAGAGAGTTCTGGGGGAGGCACTAGGGAGGTTACTGAGAGGCTAAAAGACTTTTTCAGGAACCAACATGCTTCAGAACTCAGGGCTTCACAATTACAAAGCAAGCCTTCCTTGTCCTAATCAATGCTGCCCCTCCACGTTTAGGATGTCACAAAAATATTAGTACAATTTTAAACTTTAATTGCTTAAGACTACACGAAGACTTTTGGGATATCCTACATACATGCATTATACACAAATATGCATTAGATACAACATATAGATATACTTACACACATATATAATACATGTATACAGAATATGTATGCACACTTAATACCCACATTTTACATATAAGGCACGTGTGTGCATCGTATAGGAAATGTGAGAATTAATTAATACCTTGAAAGCCAAATCAACATTTGACCTCATTGGTGAGTTTCTGTGTGGCACAAAAAATTCCACAACTTGTCTTTAAGCTGTGAACCCAAATTGGAATAAGATTGTGGTGCCTGCTTCCCAACTAACTGGTTGGGGCTAGGATTGACTTTACCTGGTTTTGTTTGTCCTTCACTTGTGAAGAGGACCAATGCCATGGGGGGATGGGGTGGACGGGACATGTCTTGATTTGTGCGTGAATTGAATTTAAGGGAGTCAGAGTTGCACAAAGTCATCAGCCTCACTCTCTCTTCTAGAGTCATCAAAGTCCAGTGGCAGGACCAAAGTCAGACTGGCAATGGTGTAGAATGCACCTCGATTCCTTCAACACCTGACCAAGCTCTAAGCCTTCCATAGCAACTACTTCAGCTGCCTTCATATCTGTTGGAACAAATTGCTTTCATCTGCCCATTCTGTGGGTCCAAAGATGACTTCACATGCTTGAGGTAGACATACCCCTAACTCACTAATGGGTTTGAGGACTCTTGATTATCATCAACTGGTTAGCCTGTCTGCCAATACAGTTCTACCCAGGTTTGGCTGCTGTGCATGCTACAGCTTCTTGGAGCCATAGGTGAGAATTGGGTAGCAGGTGGAAACAGAAGGTAAATAAGCAGCCCTGAATAGGACATGTTAAGCTCTCACACAAGAGATGATAGTCCTCCTGGAACACCCTATATACCCCTGGACTACACCTACCTGTCATTTTATTGTTGTGAGTATCTGATGGTATGGAAACTCCCTACACTAATGTCAGCTGACAATTTGTCTGTCATTTACCATCCTTGAGAGCTAAGTGAGGAAAAGATCCCAAGTTAAAATTCTGACTCCAAGACCAAACCTCAATCTACTATGTCATGCTGACTCTCTCTGCATTAATCATAAATAAGTAGATAGTCGTTCCCTATGTGTACAGTAACTTAATAGCTACAAAATTTACATTATGAATAGGAAGAGAGTAAGCCCCTGTTGTTTGGGCAGCTAGGTGTGTAGTGGAGTCAGGAAGACTCATTTTCCTGAGTTCAAATCTGGCCTCAGACACTTTAGCTGTGTGACCCTGGGCAAGTTACTTAACCCTGTCTGCCTCAATTCTTCATCTGTCAATGTGCTTGATTAAGAAATAGCAAACCACTCCAGGACCTTTGCCAAGAAAATTCTAAATCAGGTCATGAAGAGTCAGACATGACTGAAACAACTTAATGAAAAAAAGAAGCCCCTGATTAAAATGAGCACAGTTTCTAAGGAGTGCAGACCTTTCTCAGAAGAGAAATCAATGTTCTTCAAGGCCATGTCACTATGGATGCATGTAGAATGGCATACCCTAAGCTAACTGGGAAGTGAGTAGTGCCTCTGAACATATAATATTTATAGTCCCAGGTTATTTTCCTTTGTTGTTCTCATAGCCAATAGGGGCATGAATTTGTCCTGTCCACCTACTTTTATTTCAAATAACAACACTGAAGCAAAGGCACTAGACTGGCCTATCCAGGCTGCTGGGGACACTCTGGAATTATAGTGAAGCCTTCTCAGCTCCCCACCACCACTGGCAATATCAATTCAGAGATTTAATGTTATATGGTAGCTAAATGATTTGATGGAAGTTCAACACTGCAAGTCAAGAATGAGAAGTAAAAAAAAAA